AGAACAAAAACATTTTCTTTTAATAAATTAATTTCTTTTTTTAATTAATGTTTAGATAATTAGGTTTAATTATTATATTATTCTCTTGTAAATTAAAATTAATTTAGAGCTTAGGTTTTCTTTTAATTAATTAATTTTCATTATTTTTAAAATGTTTTATAAAAAAACCTAAAAATGCTTTTTTAGCTTAATTTCTTTCTTAATTAGTTTAAGTTAATTTTATTTAATTTTAATTAATCATTTTCTTAATTAGGTCAAGGCTAAACCCTTTCATAAAAAAAACCAAATAAAAATCATTTCTTTTTCCATTTATATTCTTGCATTTTATTTTCAATTTTGTACAATATTCAATATGGTTGTAATAGTTAATTAGGTTCAATTTTCTTGCAAATCCCCATTTGTAAATTTGTATACCCCCTTCCCTAATGATGTAATAGCTTAGTATTTTTACCTTCCACAATTTATCGTTTATATAAATGCTAGTAATTAGGGTTTATATGGAAAGATAAAGTCAACAAGTTAGAAAACCCTAATTCAACATAAACAAGCATGTAAATCAAACACACTTGCACACTTACACCCTTAGGGTAATTACACTTTGTAGCCTTACCAAAATGGCCATGTTATGCATGTGGGATATCTTAGCAAAAAGCAATAAAAAATATAAGATCATAGTCCCTCAATGATGCTATCAATATTGCCTTTCAAAATGATCTTAGTCCCTCAAAGAAAATGCTAATATATCTCACAACATTGCTATCATGGCTATACGATGACCCACGCCCGTCCCTCTACATCCAAAGATAAGGCTTCTTACCAATCAATGGTAAGATAGAAATATCAAAGGAAAGGAAGAAATGAACTAAGACTTTTGAGTAGGTAGATTGTTCCTAGTTGCTTACTCAATTTCAAATCAAACACTCTTACTTATTTTCAAAATAAACACCAACACTTTCAAAAACAGTTTCAAAACATTTTCCAAACTTGAAACATTTTCAAAAGTTTAACACTTTGTATATGTTATTACGAACGAGAACTATTACAAAGTTTGCCTAAACGAAGGCGCCTTTTCAAAATACTTTCAAAAACTACACAAATCACATTTTCAAACAAAAGCAAGTGATCTAGCAAGCAACTAAGATCCCATAGATAACTATGGATGAAAAGGGTGCTAACACCTTCCCTTTTCATAATCTACCCCTCAAACTCAAGAAATAATCTCAAAGGTCTTTCCTGTTCTTTCCAGTCTTTCCTTTTGGATAAAAGAAAAGTCGATGGCGACTCTTGCTAACTGCAATAATTGCGATAAAACGCAAAAGACCCAAGTCAGTTCTCCCACTGTATCATACTATGTGATGATGAATATATGATTGAAACAACTGGCTAAAAATCATCAAATAATAAAGTCACCATCGAACGTCTTTTATCCCACATGAAGGGAAAGGTAAACATCGAGAAAACCTGAGAAGGGAGAAGTCATGGTCTTGTGACCGAGAGATCAGGTAAGGGAGTTTGTTATGTGAGGGGAAGATATTAGCAGCCCACACACCCGTAGTACTCTATGGTATCCACTCTTGTTATCTATATTATGGGTGTGTTCAATCTATGTTTATTGTACTACTGAGGAATAATACATGCAAAAGAAAGGATAAAATAATGTAGGGAAAATAAAGTTGTGCTCGCTTGGACCCTATCTCAATGCCTACGTATCCTTTTTGAGGAATTAGAGTTATCGTAGTTCGGCTCACATGTTTTTGTTTATTTTGTGTTTTTTATGAACAAAGTTAATTTCACCTTCTGCTGCAGCTCGACCTTTGGAGACTCATGCATTGGCACAAAAGTAAATTAACATGTCTTTACCTAAAAATGGTTTTGAGTTACTCCCTCAAGGCAAGATGCCATATTTGATTGGTTTGTGTTTTATCACCTTGAAAAAGGATTTAAGTGTGATTAAGCATGTTTTATGATTTTTTAAGAAAAAGAAAGTTTTAGTTTTAAATACAAATACAAAAAGGGAAGAAAAGAGTCTATGGGAGACTAGCCTATTTCTAATCCTAATGTTATCATACAATGGTGGTCCTAAGGTTTGGATTAACAAAATGGAAACATCTACCTAATGTTAGCATGCATGGTTTGCAACCTAAGGTCTAACTTGCATCTGAAAGGAACAACCACATTATAAGGGAACATGTTATAGAAAGTAGGTAAGCAAACAAGCTCAAAAGAGCACATACATAAAAAGGTAAATAAAAGAAGCAAAATGCTTTAGTCAAGAGGATTGTATCACCCGAGACAAACAAGCGGGAATAGGATGTAAAACAAAAATGTGATGTCCAAAGTAACTGAACACCTAACCAAGATATAAGAGATCGAAATAGGCGATAGAAGACAATATGAACGATCATGGAGTATCATCATCGGCTAATGCGAACTCCTGACAAAGTGTAGGGGTCTGATTGCAAAACCTTTCCCCATTTGACGACTCGATACACATGATCTTGGGAACATGTTTGGAGCTCGGAACTTGCAAAAAGTAAGCATAGGAACGACACGACGAAAACTGGTCGGGGTTGATTGCTAACCCTTTGCACTTGCCTTCCCATGAGGACTTAGGAATGGTTGACATAGAAGGACCTAAAACCATCATCTCACTATACAAGCACAAATGTAAACACACGTGCAAAATACCTACTTCAAAGGTAGGGTTTTAAACAAACACAATAGAATACAGAAAGCACATAATGTGAAATTTCCCTAAACGGGTCTTTAACTAAACCAGAGGGATTCTTGACATGATCAGCAATGGAGATCCCCTTCATACATCTCTACCCTACTTCTCATGGCATCGGAAAGCAGTAAAACCTTTCTTCTCATGATCTCTAGAAGAGTGGCAAAGAAATGCGGTAAAGTGCAGAGAAATATAAAAGTAGTAGCGGCGACTACCAAAGCAAGCAAATCATCAAGAGCAAACGAAAACGATGGAGAAGTAAGGAGTACGCATCGAGCGAGCTTCACCAAGGAACACACAAAGTTAGAAACGATATCCAACTAAGATAAAAGCAAACATGTGTTGTGAATGAAACGCGTAATCAGAAGTTCCTGCATGAAGCATCATAAAACATCACATGCATCTGGACAACATATAATATGATATGAATTTCTCAGGACGATGAGAAGTCAGGCGTATCGCATTGGAAGCGAGCATAAGCAGTATGCTTCGATCACATAACAACTTTTTATGCTACATGACCGAAAGCATAAAAAATGTACCTTGCACAATGAACAAAGACGACAAAAATAACGAGGCACGACGGTATGAACATATGAATAAAAATTAAAAGAAAAAGGTATTTTTTATTAGTTTTCATGTGAGGAAAATTCTATCAAAACTAAAGAAATTCTAGAAAAAATTCTATTATATTCCACTGTTCTTTATTTTTTTTGTCATAAAAAACTACCAAAAACTAGAGAATTAGTTCCTAAAAAATTGATTAAAAAAAATTAACAAATTTCACTGATTTTATACTTTTCTATCATAACAAAAGTATAAAAGAAATTAAAAGCAAATTCTAAATTCTACATATCTCCCTTTTTGTCCTTTTATCATTAAGTTTTTATTAAGAAGGTTTAAAAGAAAATTTAAGCTAAAAGAAAAAAAAAACTAAAATGATTAATAAGAGTCAGGGTTGTGAAAGCTGAAATTAAGGGGTGTAGTAATCAGGGTGCAGGCCCATCTCAGAAAAGTCCAAAAGCTTTTTGTAGAAATTATCTCAGTATGTCCAAAAATAGAGTTATGGGCTCACAAGAATGATGGTAAACTGGCTTGGAGAGTGTGTGCAAATCTGATGTAGAGTGTGTGGACTGAAACAGATACTAGGCCCAATACCGCTTGGATCTAAAACCAGTATTTTTTGTATAACAAGTTTCAAAAAAACGTTGATGAACCTAATGAAATGTACTTCGGTCCACTATCCATAACGCAAGCTCCAGATTTTAGTTTTCTTTTCAATTTCAGCAATTACTTACATTTTTATTTGATTTATTAACAAGGCTTTATAAAAAAGAATTAAAAGAAAAATGTCAAACGATGTAGTTTTATGTTAGGTTGAGAGTGACTGTTAAAATTATTAACACAGTGCATCTTTTTCTAACTTTCGCCGGAAATTTCTCCGCCGCTCCGGAGGCGGTGGAGCTCCACCAATCTCTAAGATTCTTACATCACCTTATTTTCCTTGCTTTATCTCTCCGTTTCTATACCTATTTTCTTCCAATTTCCCCTCATCTTTTCTGAATCTAACAAACCTCATAACCCTAACGGAGTCAGAGCGAAATTAGTTGATCATGGAGAGGCCTCCGAGCAAGATTGTGATGGGTTTTAATCATACGCCAGACATTCTACACGCTCATATAAAAAATAACAAAGAAGTTCGAGGAAAGATGAAGGCCCGGATCTCACCACTCATAGTCTCCGGCGGTATTTCATGATCGCTGCTAACGGAAGCATGAGTATAGGGAGTTTTCAAGAAGTAGGTCAAGTAAGCTCTTATCTCTTCTGATGTCCTTCCACTCTCCTCTTCTGTGTTTCTGTGCTTGCATGATATTGTTGATTGAATATGAGGTTGATGCAAAGGATTGAATGAGGAAGGACGAAACTGTTATTGCAGATTCGTGATGAAGACGTCAAGGTGATGATGACGAAGATTGAGTGCGTGAGAAAGTTGAAGAATGATTGTGATGGTGATGAAAATAGCAGAGATATAACAAAGCTTTTTTTTAGGCTTATAACAGTAGGCTTTCTGACTTACGATAGTAGCAATGTCAGTTGGCTGTTGGGATTAGTGGTTAGAAGTTAGTTTAGATTAGGTTATGAAATTCTGTTAGAGTTCTACTTTTTTGATTTAGTTATTTTCAGTTAGAAACTTAACTCTGTTAGTAATAGTTGGTCATGTTAGGAAGTTAGTGTTATCTAATTCTAAAAGTTGGGGTTAATACTGCTACTGTTAGTTTAAGATGGTTGTTAGTGAACTAATGGTTTTGTTGTTGCTTGATTGCGGTAAAGAAGATTGAAGGTGTTGAAGGATGAAAGTCAACGTTTCTTGAAATATGTTAACGAGTGTATGTATAAGATGAAGATGATGATAAATTTCAGAGACAATTTTATTACGCAGCATCAATGGCTGAAGGAAGGTCATGATGTTCTGATACATGGCTGATGACATGTTGCAGACAAGTTGTGGTATGGCATAAGAGAGGAATAGTGGGTCTTATGTGAGTTAATTACATGATTTAGTGGACTATTGGCTTGATGTTGGCATATTAAGTAAGTGTAGCTAGTTAGAATTGGTGCAACAATGCGTGATATATTCTTGTCAGTTCCAAGGAGTATTTAGGTAACACAGCAGGTGCAAATGAATGTAATGGTGTTTAGTCTGGTAAATGGAACAAAGAATGTTGTAAGAGGTTATATGTATCATCCATACAGCAAATTGATTTGGGTAATTGGAATAATCATGGTCTTTTGCAAGGCATTTGAAGATAACAACTGACGAACAACCATATGTCTTAGGGTAGTGGGTTGACATTGGTCAATTGTTTGACCAAAAGTCAACAGTAGGTCAGATGTACTCTCTTTTGTATAATTTCCAATGTAATATATTTGCAATGGATGTTTACATTTCATAATTGACGCTTTTTAATATGTATTGAATTCTAGAACATGTAATGATATTTTCCTTCACATAAGTTTGAATTCTTCTCTCCTTCCAATTATATTATGAACTTGAATTTTCAAAGCCTTTTCCACAGTTCTCTACAAGAAATGAACCATGTTCTTTATCTTGCAAACTTTAATGAGCTTAGATGAAAGCCTAATAAGATCTAATAAGAAGACTTGTGACCCAAGTAATGAAGCGCCACTTCAATTTATTGTGAGAACCAAAATGAGCATGTGAAACCTATCCTGCCTTGTACGCATCAAATCTTGCTTAAACTTGTACTTTATACAATTACTGAGACCCTCTAAATAATAATCTTCACCACCGAATCAAAAATTTCATAAGGAGCCCTATTGATTATCACATGAAATAGGTAAATAAACCCTAACTCATACCATGATCATCGAAGAAACAACTTGAATTTCCCTTGAATTTAGATGAGAGACTCAAAACCAAAGAGAAACCTTAATTACCAAGACCCTGATCCTAATGTCAATTTTATTGATTAATGAAGCATGATGTGTTAGATGACCTAACGAAAGTTATGTACATGAGAAAAGTGTGAGGCGCATAAGCCATATAAAAGTGAAAGGGTAGGACAAATTTGGGGTATTACAATGATGTGTCAAATGAAATTGATAATAAGTATGCTTGATGTGCATACCTGATTTGTGAAGAATGTTTATATGATGGTTACATGAATGATGATGCTATTGACTAGTCGTGGTAGAATTATTAATGTGATGTGCATCATGCATTCATAGCATATATCAAGACGTTGGTCAAGTGATGTTGTTAGAACGCTGGTCCAGTGATGGCCTCATTCTCATTGTGTGAATTGAGTGCGCTATTATGATGTTCTCTGGTTCCAAGCAGGAATCGATCCTATGGTAGAGATCTTTAGAGGGTGATGACCCAATGCTCATCAGTGAAGTTTGGTACCACATGCATGATTGAAGATTCATTACATTCTTTTTAACTTTGTGTGATTATTGATTAAATGATGTTTTGTTGATTTTGTAACTTAAGTGATGTTCTGGGGATGATTATTGATTTGATGATATGATGAAGTTGTGAATAAATTAATGATGTGAAAGTGTGAGTATATATGTGATGTATAAGGATATATGAATTTTATTGATGATTATTCTTGTAACTACTATATCTATTATGTATATCTTTTATAATGATTTTTGATTACTCACCCTTTATGTTTGAACGTTGTCTCCACGTGGGTAATGCGCATGTGATCGTGAATAGCTCGTAGAAGCGTGAGGATAGCTTTTGAGTTATTTAGTGTGTTTCTTTTGAATAAGAAGGGTCTTTCTCTGATATGTAAAATCGGGGTATGGAAGGCTTGAGTTTTTAAAGTTTATTGTTTTGTTTAAAATACATTCTATGAGTTTTGTTATTTGTTGAATTATTTTGATGCTAAACTTGGATAAGACTAATAGGTCTTGATGCTTTTGATGAGATAAATAAAGTTATGATTGAGACAATGATTCTGCTATGAAGTCTGAATTTATATGTTGATATTATTAAAGAAATGATTGTTATAATTTCTGAAAACCCGTGTTACAGAGCAGGATGTTTGATTAAGATGTTTTACATGACAATGTGACACCCTTGTTGGTCGTTTGTGTTTAATTATTTATTAAATTATTCTTCAATTATTCATTTTGGTTAGAAGGGTGTTACACATGCCATTTGTTGCTTGAACCTTGATGGAAAATGAGCATGTATGTCACTAGTTGTTGCTTATCCACCGGTGAGTTCATAATAGTTATTATTAAATGACCTATATCAAAACAAAATAAAAATAAGTTAGAAGGTAAGAAGTTTATATACAATGTGTTAAAAATAATTATTCACTTGCTATACTTACTCAATGTATTGTTTAACTTCAACGCAATTAATCAAGACATGAACATGAGCATATTGCAATTCCTTTTTGGTTATCCAGCGCACATTCGTCTTTCCAGAACTCTGATCAATAAGCCCGAAGACTGATATGGTGAATTGACTTATTTTTGTAATAGTAACTTCATTCCTTATGATTCTTGGAGTTATCATCATGTGATTAAAATAATGAGAGCAAAAATGTGATGTTTCCCTATGTAAATAATGTGCACATATTAAACCCTCAACTTGATCTCTTTTAATCACCCATGAATCTTTCAAAAGGATACATCCACCTATATTGAACAGATCCGCCAAGAAAAGCTTCATATGTAAGATGCACGGGAAGATGTTCCATTGAATCGAAAAAACAAGGTGGAAAAGTTTGTTCCAACTTGCATATAATGAGAGGAATGTTTTGGTCCAACTTAATAAGGTCATCCACTCTTAAAATTGACGCATAAATATATCTAAAAAATTGACTAATTTCTGTTAGTGGATTAAGAACTTGTGTTGGCAATGAGCTTAAGGCAATTGGAAGCAATCGTTCCTTAAAAACATAGCAATCATGACTTTTCATTCCTTCAACTTCCCGGTGTTGGCGTTAGCACACCTTGCCAAGTTAGAAGCATAACCATCAGGTATTCTCAATTCAGTTAACCGTCGATTACCAAGCTTGGATTCTTAGGGAAATAGACTACAAGTAGCTTTGGGTTTTAATAGTTTCCCATTCGGTAGAGTCTTCAACTCTAAATCTTTTCAATTACCCAACAGTTCCATGTATTTTCCTGCATTCTCATTATCTTTTGACTTGCCTTGGATATCCATCATTGTGTTAAATACATTATCAAAAAATTTCTTCTCTATGTGCATAACATCAAGATTATGTCACAATAAATTATCTTTTCAATATGGGAGGTTATTGTAACTAGTTTTTAAATCAGAGTCTCCATCCTAAATTTTTATTCGAAGGAAGGGAGTATAAAGGATAACCCTAAAAGTTAGAGATTCTAGGTTTTTTGGACTCGATTCTAGACGAAGGGGAGGTGTTAGGCACCCCTCATCTACCTTGTTCACAAGGATACTAGGGTTAGAAGATGATATTAAGAATTAGGGTTTTTACTATTTTAGTTGGGAGACTCGCCACGATTTTAATCGTATGCCTACGTATCCTCTTAGGAGGAATCAGAGTCCCATTTCGTAGTTCGCAATTTTGTTTGTGTTTTTTATGGCTTGTAGAAATACCTCGAATTTTCTTTGAACCAAATTCGAGTTTGTAAATTTCGGAATCGTGGATATAGCTCGCGGGTGATAAAAGATATTAACACAACCCTTTTTGAAAATAAATATAAATTTGATTATATTAGTAAAAAAATTGATTTGAAGTTGGTTAGTTGTATTAAGACATAGAGCGCGAGAGTCTGATATAGTCTCCTCATTACGTGGCCAGATATTGGCCACGTGTTACTCGCGGATGGAATATTTAGTCACTCGCGTGGATTTTAATACTTTGATGTAAAATATTAAATTCATTATGTTTGAGAAAAGTTTAGAATTTATTTATGTGTAAAAATATTTAAATCAGTTTAATTGAGAAATTAAGTTTGATTATGCACAAAGTTTGTAATAACCAATCGAGAGACTTTAATATCGTATAAACTAATTATTAATTGAATAACCTAATGAATTAAATAATATATTTTGTATTGTGTGATAACAAAAATAAATATCCTAATAACCAATATTAAATTTAATAGTTTACCAAACATAGATTGAATTAAAAATAAAAACTAATAAGCTAGGGTGCAAATTACAGTAGAATAGTAAAATGGAGGGTTTGGAAGATAAAGTTTATGTGATAATAATAATAATATTAAATATAAAATATTAAAATAAGAATATTAAAATAATTATAGTTAAAAAGAAATAAATAAAATAAAATAAAAGTGTGGGGTGTGAATTACATTAAGATAGTATATTAGGGGATGTTAACAGAATGGGCCTTAGATCCAGATATTGGATCTAAGCCCAGAAGCGTAGGGGTATGCTTCAGCGTGTAGCGATATAAGAATGGGGTGAGTAGTAAATGGTCCAGGCCCAAGAGATTTTAGAGAGAATCTGGTTGGATCATATGAGGGAGAGTGCATGGCATTAAGGTGTGTGCACGTCTTGGGTCATAGGATTATAATCAAATGGGTACGGATGAGGATACATAATTATTAAAGGCGTTGTACATCAGATTATTAAGCATAATATATTTTTGTTTTTCACAAAACAAAACAATTTTATCATTATATCTTCTTCTCTCTCCTTCCGCATCATCTCTCTCCCATCTCAATGTTCTTCCATTTTTTTCAACAACAACCCTAGCCTCCTCTTTATGCGGCAGCGCCGATCCTATTCTCTAGCATAAAAAACAACAACCCACTACGATCTAAACAATAAACAAAAAAAAAAAACAAATCGAGCTAAGTAGTTACCATCCGCCATGATCTATTCTTCACGTTTTGCTTTCGATCTGAACTTTTGTGATCTCTCTCTTTTCGTTTGTCTCTAAACTGGTGCCGGATAGTGGAGGTAGCGGCGGCATCAATGGAGGCAAGCTA